TCTAAAGAAAACAACCTGTCAAAAAACTAATACAGAATTTATCTATTTCAATGTTTCGGTCAGACGAAATGCATGAGACATGGGGTCAGGGAGGGTGGAAGGGATTTGTCTTAAATGGAAGAAGTTTTATAAAAGAGAACCCAAATATTAATCTTATGACATTAATTTGGGGTTATATGAAGAATGAAATATTAATTTAAAATTAAAGAAATAAAAAAAAGGGGTTTAAAAATAACTTTAAAATATATAGATAAAAGGATTAGTGAAAAGAGAGTTGGGGAGATCTTAGAGTAGGAGAAAGTTTATAAATTAAAATTAATATGGGTAAAGAGGTTATAGAGTGGGAGCAATATAGAAATTAGAATTAGTTATACATTCAACATTTGAAAATTTGTAGGAGAGTGAATATTTGAATTTGAATCCATCCCCTTTTCTTTATATAAAAAGAAAGGGTATCTGTCTATATTTCTCAGATGAGGTATTATGTACATTATTTGGACTATTGTCTTCATCTTTGTCACCATATTTATCACAACATTTTGGCCGTTGTACGCCTTGGCCTCAAGGACACATGGCACACTGGATAAAGGTGTTGGTTAGATCCACTGACAGGACCCAAAGAGTGTGAGTTCAATACCCAGTTAAGGCAGTGTAGAACTTGGAGAGAGGAATTAACAGGAGATAACTGATAACTGACATCCATTAAACATGGCACGTGGAAATAGAACAATCTTCCCCCATGAGTGAAATAAAGGGTTCAGTTCAACATTCCAACCACCTGAAGATAAATATGGCGACAAAGATGAGGACAATATTCTGAATAATGTAAATAAAGAAAGGGGGATGGATTTCTTATTTATTGACAGATTTTTGTTACTTAAACATTATTTTTAGTGGAATTTTTATTATTATTTTTATTTGAATAGACACCCTGTTTATTTATTAAACAATATATTTATTTTTGTCTACTGGCCTGAATATTTGAGAAATTAGAGACAAATATTTGGTCGCAGGCAGGATTTGAACCTGTGTTCTCCTTGGGGAAACTGTTATTAAATTTAAAATGCTTTGACCTCTCGGCTACAGAGTGTGTTGATTACCAAGCAAAGTTGAAAAGTGCCTTTAAACAGATTTTTCTCTTCCCATCAAATCTAATGACAGTTTCTCTGAGGGGAATGCAGATTGGAATCCTGGTGGAGAATGCATGTTTACCTTGAATAAGATTTCTCAAATATTCAGACCAGTAGACAAAAATAATTATACTGTTTAATAAATAGATTGTCTACTCAAATATGAGTGGCCACTAAAAATAATATTGATATATATATTTGTTTTTTTTTAAGCATTTCACCCCAAGCAAGGTGGGAAGCCACTAGGACACAAGGAGTTACAGAAGATTTGGAGCAAAATCAGATAGGAGTGATAGAGGAAAGGATGATGAGAAGGATAGTGGATAGAACAAGGCAACTGGAGATGTTGATTGACATTACATTTGAATAGTTGGAGATTATAACTCTCAGGGAAACAGGAATAGGGAAGGGAGTTCCACAGGCGAGACATGAAGCTATTGGAGTAGAAGAGACGGCTACATTTAATAGTTTCGACAGTGAAAGGGTGAGAGCGGGATGCCAGCCTTGTAGGACGCTTGAATTCATGAAGTCTGGGAACCAGCGAATGCAGCTCCTTGGAGCAACTGTCATGAAAATATTTGTAAAAAAGACAGAGAGAGGCGATAGCACGTCTGTGATATATATATATATATATATATATAAATTATATATATATTTATTTTTATATATAAATTACAGTTTTTTTTTTTTTTGCTTTTTATATAAAAAAAAAAAAGTAATTTCCCTTTAAGAATAACAAAAATTAACATTCACAACTCTTAAATAAAAAATTCTTTAATTTTTTTTTTTCACACACACAAATATTTATAAACACACATAAATCTTGTTTATTTTAAATGCCAAATATAATTTTTTAAATTAAAAAAACTAATCACAGTATAACATTTATCTACACCAACATTACAATAACCAGATATATTTTTTAAAATTTAAATTATTGAACAGCCAGTCTATACTCAGCTCCTGAAGATTATGTTGTTCATGAAACTCTGAGTCAGGCTATCAGTGAGGGATAATATGTATATTTAATGATATATGCTTAATAGCTCAGTTATATTACATCAAGCACTGTTTTATTAACACCAGCATTATATGTGCAGTATATTATATATATATATATATATATATGGTTTTAAGTTATGCTATATTTACGGGTTAAAGCACTCAATACCAGGGCTAGAGCATATGTAAGTGTAAGAGTAGACATTGAGGTCAACACGCAGTCTGTTTCATGTTTGAATGCAATCTTCCCCCAGTGGAATCAAGTCATGTGGCTGTGACCAAAGTGAGCCTTCACATTGCAGGGGCATCATGTATATGTTCTCAAATACCTTGTGTATGAATGTGTTTGCGTGTGTTTTTGGTTGATTTTATTTAATGGCATCTCAAACTCTATGGGTTATTTAATGCTGAAATCTAAATATTTTATATATATTTTATACTTCCAGGGTAAAAAGGTGTGTTTTTTAAATGTATAGTTTGTAGATTATAAAATGTATTTTTGCTAATTTCCCTGCAAAAATATACTGCTGATCATTGTTTGTGGGGGGGGGGGTCACCATTTGCCCATAGCTGGGACCCTAACAGAGTGGACCTGGAGATAACAGAAATTAAAAAGTGGTTCCAAACTCCTCAAAATCTCAAATCCCCCAGTCAGAGGCCTTGTTGCCAGATGTAGTTTATTGTGATACTCAGGACAAGTGTGTGTGTGTGTGTGTATATATATATATATAATAATAAATACCGCTCTACTTAGTATATATATATATATATATATATATATATAATAAATACCGCTCTACTTAGTATATTGAGCCCTCTACATTTTCGTTGTCTTTATACTCGCTTGGGTTTTTTTCTTTGGACTAATTACTTAAGACATTTGACGATTTCTTTCGCCTTGTTCTGATGTTTTTAGTTCTTTCTTTTTTTTTTACTTCAATTTTTTCCTCGGTTTGAATTTGCCCTCAGGTGTCTGAAAGTTGAGTCCTCCGAGGTTTTTCAAAATAGTAATACTGTTAAAATATATATATATATATATATATATATATATATATATATAGTGGCAACCATCTGTTTCATGCTTAAGTGCAATCTTCAGGCCATCAAGCACAGTAACCTGAAGATTGTGTTTAAGCATAAAACAAAAAGCTGGAACTGGGGTGTGTGTTCCATTGAAGATGAAAAACAAGGTTAATTTTTATATTTTTTTTTAGTATTTCTCTTGTTTCTGTGCAAGATAATGGATGTTCAGTGTTTGTACAAATCTTACTTATTATAAAACGCAGATTGTGTGTGTGTGTCTGTACATTTATATATTGGATCGGATTTCCTACATTTTTCAACCGATTTCAACAAAACTTCACAGGACTACATAAAAACCTTTGCAAAGGTCTGACAGCACCAAAATTGGAAAAACACAATTGTTTTTTTAAAAATCAATTTGAAAACACGATAAAACATGATTCTGTCGCCAAAAATGAAAGGGGACAACTCATATCAAGTTATACTTATAAAAAACCCAGGTTGTTTGTATGTGTGTTTCGTTTATATATGGGATCGGTTTCCTACATTTTTAAACCGATTTCAACAAAACTTCACTTTTTTTTGGCAGGTAGTGTTTCTTATTGTCTTGCACACTTTTTTCTTTATTTTTACATTCAGAATACTTTAAAAATTCCATTTACAAGACAATTGTTTATAATAAAATTCTATTCAATAACGATTGCAAACAATGTTTTTGTTTGAGTTTGGGTTTGACCAATTCGTAAAAAAAAAAAAAAAACTAATTAAGACATGCGTGTCCGTCAACCTTAAACAATAATCTTTGTCAATTTTATTTTTCAGTCTTTATGATGGTCGATACTTGATCTATCTCTTACTGTTACATCCCCAGGCAATGCCGGGCTCTACTGCTAGTTTTACATATATGTTTGATCATTTTCAGTTTTGGGAATTATGTTATGGTTTTGAAAGTCAAAAGAAATCTTTCTCTCTCCTATTTTTCCACCATCATTAAAAATTAAAATCCTATTCTGACTGTGTTGATGACATTATCTGCAAGCCACTTATACCTTATGTAAAGCTGTTTGCTCAATTACATCAATTGAGCCACAGTGTTTATTCATGATTGGGTGGATTTAATACACCAATCCCCAGGCTGAACAATTTTTTATTCAATGCATATTTTGTCAATAAAATAGCTGAGTGAATTAAAGCATTAGTTTTTAAATTTGGTGAAATCATTGTAAGTTCAATGTCTGGGGCAGGTAGTGCGAACTTAGACTCAGTAGAAACAGGATGAGCATTAATTGTGCTGTATTAAACAAGAACAAGATATCCCTAGACATTGACAGGAGAACAAGAACAATCTACCCTCTAGATTAAATAAAGTGTTTAGTTTGAAATTCCCTGAATCAACGGACACCTGAGTTTATGGCCACATCATGTCGAAACATGTATGAACACTGAAGTTAAGCCTGGTTAAGACCTAGATGGGTGACCACCTGGAAATACCAGGTGCTGTAAGCTTGGATGTGTGGGTGGTGTAATGGATAATGGCTCTGAGTTTGTAATTAGAGTGTTGAGTTCCCGTACGATCATTGAAGTTAAGCAACATTGAGCCTGGTCATTGAAACAGTAATGTGTGGGTTGTGTAATGGATAATGGCTTATTGGTAATCCCATATGATCACCAGCAATGGTCATGGTCATTCTACATGGGTAAATGGTTGAAAATACCAGGTGCTGTTAAATTAGTGGTGTAATGGATAATGGTTAGAACTAATGGATTCCCATACGATCACCAGGCTTAAGCAATGTCGAATTTCGTAAAATCACCAGGTGCTGTAGTTGGCTTGGAATTGAACATCATTTGATCCCATACGATCACTGAAGTTAAGCAACATCAATCCTGGTCAGTACCTAGATGGGTAACTGTTTGGGAATACCAGGTGCTGAAAGCTTGGATGTGCAGGTGGTGTAAAGGATAATGGCTCAGAATTGTTAATTGGAGAATTGAGTTCCTATTCCAGTTGGGTTAGTTATATTCACATACGTATAAATATCCTTGGAAAAAAATATTATTTTGCTAGCCCCACTTTACTTTGGGACTGACACAAACAAGAAGAATACTTTATCAACATGTAAAAAAGATATTTATTTACATCTAAACATGAATACAACAGTTAACATAAACACAATGTCCTTTCCTATATACAGAGAATATGTCAGGCGGACTTACCCATCTTCTGGAGTGAAATAAGTCTAGGTATCTTGTATCTTTAAAACCCTCAGCAATTGGTCCCATTGGAGGTAGAGAGAGTTTTTTTCTGTGTTACTTCAGAGCAGGTCTGGTCTCTTCTCTTTGGTGGTGGTCAGCTTTTTCTGAATCCATGTGGTTTTATTAACCAATGAGAAAGCGCCTAACATCATGTGACCAATCTTTCTATATATGAGTAGACAAATTTTACAAACCCAACAGTATGAATCTGCCTCTTTTTCCCCCAGCTATGGGTTAACTAGTAAGACTTGTATCAGTAAACCATTAAAATCTCAACAAAAAATAATTCTTATCAGAAAATATTTTCATTGCAGTTATTTAATAACCTGTAAAGGATTGATAAGCTGTAAAAAATAAATCAATTAATCAATCAATCAGTAAAAAATCAGGCACATGAAGAAGTCTGGAGGGTATGACCACCAAAATATTTTGATAATAACAAAGTTAAGGACATTAGTTTGAATGCTTTTATGATTATGGCTTCATTTGTTTGTAGTCATTTTTTGCAGTTTATGCTGAGTCATCAGTCTTGGTATAAATATTATCAAGGTGATTGTGGAAAGGGACTTGTGTTGTGGACACTAATAATTTTTTTTTTTTAATATTGTGGAATTAATTTTCAGGTGTGGCAGAGAAGAATGGTGATAAATGTTATTTAAAATAATGTCAATTGTTTCATGAACTGGAATGTTAGTGAAGAAATTGAGTCCAAGCAAGAAACAAACTGTCCCCACTTGGTGTTGACCACAGTATAATGCCCCACCACCACCACACACACACACACACACACACACATATATAAAACCTAGTGAGTCAGAACCTACCAAGGTTTTATCTAACTGATCTTCAGTAGTACCTAGAATATCTGTTAGGTGAAACCTTGGTAGGTTCTGGCTCACTAGTTTTTTTTTTTTAGATTTTGCCCTATTTAGTGTATTGAGCACTTTTACATTTTTACTTAATTTATTCTATCAGTGTTTTTTCTTTTGACCAGGCATTGCAGTGCTGATTGATTATTTTTGACTGACATGGATGTCTTTAGTCTTTTCTTACTAAATTTTTGTTTCCCTGATATCGGTTTGTTCAAATATGTTTTTATTTACAAATTGTATTATCCTGGTTTTTTTCATACCATCCAGGTATAGGTATTAATATAATACATAATAAAATTATATATATATATATAATATTATTATTATTTTAAAATATGCATTCATCATGACACAGAAATTACAATATTTTGGAACTAAAAACTAAACTTTAAATTAAACATTTAAATTAAAGTTTTTGTTCCAGTCTCAAGCAATGTTGAATAACTTTTGAAAAAATCATTTACCTGTTTTAAACTAAATAGTATTATATAGTTTAAGCTGAAGACGGAAAGGGATTACAAAATTTTAAAAGGGTGTTGCCTTTTTTGACGAATCAGGATACAAGTCTACTTTAAGATGGCAAAGTGTAAATATAGGTTAAGGGTTAGGTGTGGGTTTGTAATTTCTGCCTGTCAATACTGGCTTCCTTATATAAGAAGAATTCTGATTGGCTGGTTGACCGCGGTGTTGGCCTGATAAAAGAGGCCTGAAGCAGTGAGAATGGAAGAAAAGATGGATTTACATTTTGAAGTGTGCAGAAAGCATGAACGGCGGATTGAACCAGCAGAGTATCTTGACTTGTACAAACGACGTCCGAGTACTAGAGACTCATTTAATCTGCAATCTATTTTGATCTTCCTCCCAATCATGGCAGACAGAAGTTTTGATATTAGGCTGATACCTGAATTCAGTGGGGCTACTACCAATTGTAGAATGGATTGAAAATATGGAGTTGGTTTGTGAACTCTGCAAGATGAAGAAAGTTGAGCAGATACTGCCACTGTGCCTGCGAGCTGGGACTCTCTCTGTGTATCTGCAGCTGACAAAGGAGCAGCGGTCAGATGCAGAGTAGATTAAGCAAGCCGTTATAACTGCATATGCGGTGGATTCATTCATTGCGTATGATCAGTTTATGTCACAACAATTTCAGCCAGAAGAAACTGTAGACAAATTTTTACAGAGTTAAAATGGTTAGCTTTGCAAGTTGGTGGCCAACTGTCTGAATGATGGATGACGTGTGCATTTGTTTCTGGACTGCTGCAACAAGTCAAGCAACTTTTATGACGATGGACCAGATTTTGACTTGTGCTTGGGCTGTTATGACTGATACCAAAGAGCTGGATGAGTCATTTCCCACAACAGCTCAACAGATGAATACTGATGTTACTGCATAGATGGGCGACATTGTTTGCTTTAAATGTTTTGGTCCCAACCACCTGGCAATGGACTGCAGGCAAGGCTACTTGGAGAGAACAGCTACCCGGACACGAAGATCCCACTGCGAGATATGGTGTTTTTAGTGCAACAAGGTTGGGCACATCTCATCAGGGTGCCAGGGAAACAGATTCAGGGAACAGACATCAGCACCGGTCTTCTGAAGCAACTAAAGTACATGGTGCTACCTATCATTGAGGTGGCTTTTGACGGAAAGAAGTTCATGGCCCTGGTTGATTCTGGTTCCTCACGGACATTGGTGAGCAAATGCACATGCCACAACTGACAACCAATGAAGATGCAAGTCCTAACTACCAATGGTAAGGTACTAACATGCCGCAGACAGGGCAGTATTAAGTTGAAAATTGGTCATGCTCAACCTGTGTCCATGGATGCCCTAATTGTGAACAGGCTACTACTTGTGTTCAATCTTCTTCTTGGGATTGATCAATCAGAGAATTAGGTGGGGTGCACATCAATCCACCACTTTTTTGAAGAAAGTAAGCCCCAATGTGCTGCTATTTCTATCACTGAACCTGACCTGTGTAGAGTTCAATCGTCATAACAAAGTATGGATAGCCTCGTGGAAGTGGACGAATCGACAACCACCTATAACCCTAAAGAATAAAGAGTGGCAGAATATTCAGTACCCAGCTATGCATGGGACAAATATGAGATGGAGCTTCAGTCGTGGCTGGATAATGGATGGCTGCAACCATACCTCGAAGACTAACTTGGCCCACCTAAGTGTCTAATCCTATTAATGGCAGTGATACAAGAGAGCAAGCAGAAGATCTGTCCAGTACTGAATTACTGCGAGTTGAATGGTTTTGTGGAATCATATACCTCTATCTCAGAGGTGTGTGCACATAAGTTGTGGGAATGGTGACTATTGGGGGGGCCAACATATCCTTATTGGACGTATGGAGGGCATATCTGCAGATACATGTTGAGAAGGTGCTGTGGCCCTATCAAACTGTCATATTCAAGGGTCAAAGATACTGCCTCACCAAACTGGGCTTGATGTAAGCTTCTGTGTTGAGTTTGAGGCTCCTCACCTACAAATTCAGGAGTTCTTTTCTAATCAGAATGATGAGTAAGTTTTCTGAGCTGGCGTACCTTTGTAATCACCTTTGACTATCCAACTCTGAATCGTCTGCACTGTCCTCAGATTGACATTCTAACATTCTGAAATCCAACATCTGCCAAAGTGTACAAATTTCTTTCTGGTGGAATGAATTGAGTCATGGTGCTCTTTTTCTAACTGACACTACTATACTGTGGAGTTGACAAAAAAAAAAAACAAACAAAGCTCATGAACGAAATTAAAAATATAAAATGGCAACAATTTACCTATCTCACTGTGTATATATAGTTAAATTTCCCAGAATAATTCTGTAGATAAGACAAATTGGTATAAAAATCCCTTTCATTGTTTGCTTTGATAAAGTTGAAAGACGAAATGTGTCAGCAAAATCTAAGATTTTTTTCCAATTGTCATTTTTATACCAAGTTGTCTTATCCACAGAATTTTCCTGGGAAATTTAATTATATTGTCAACATGGAAAACAGAAAACAACTCTTAGTATAAAGGAAGTTACCATTATTCAGAAAGAGGCTTATGCAGGATCATATCTCTTTTTTAAGATTTAGATTTAATATAACTACAACAATTAAACATTTCACTTTCATTGTTTGTCTTGATAAAGTCGGAAGATGAAACACATCAGCAAAAACTAAGATTTTTTTTCCAACTGTCATTTTCATACCATATATATATATATATATATATATATATATATATATATATAGAGAGAGAGAGAGAGAGATATTTATAGGTATTGTAGTGGGTAAATCAAATAACTAGATATTAGCAGTATATATGCATTAGCATGTATACACAGGTAAGCGAATAAATATTTACTCAATTTAATATAAGGTGTAAACAAAACGGTGCTCAATGTGATCAGATAGAGCTAAGAAGTATATATTAATAAATATACATATACCTATATTTGGAGTGCAACTTAAAGTTTTGTTGTTCTACCAACTCATCAGTCACAAATTATTACTTTTTCTTTCTCTATATTTATGTGTGTATGTATATATATATATATATATATATATATATATATATACATACACACACACATACAAACACACATACACATGTGAGTGGGTTATGATAAATTCTCAGCTTGACCTACTTTCCAAAATTTGACCAAACATCATAATTTGGGATTTTGAAAAGAAGGATGGATTTAGAACTTTTCTGCACCTCCTCCCTGTGTGTGTACCCTTGTGTCTGTGTATATCTAATTTTTGTTTCATCTGTCAAAAGATGTTAGTTTCCAAACTTCATCATTGTATTTAT